TTATTATGGTCTGGATACCAAATATGTAGTGTGGGCCAAGACTCTTGGCCATGGAGCTGTGGTTCTCTGCCCTTGTAGGTGGCTTTTTGTCAGATATAATTTTCTATGCATACATCTCACAAAATCTTCTTTGGTTCATTCATGTGATTTAGGATGATGATCTTTTATTTCATAGTAACTGAAAGAAAATGGTGGGATATGTATGGAATGCCAGGCTTGCCCTGTCTATCTATCTATCTATCTATCTATCTATCTATCTATCTATCTATCCATCCATCCTGTCATCTAATCACCATTTTCCTTTTCACTTCTCTTGAAAAGGTTAGAAAATACTAAGGACATTTTAGCATGTCCTCCCTCTGCCCCTTTCTCATGTGTACATTGCAAAGATAGAGAATTTAGAAGTTAAAAGAAGTTCTTAAGTCTTCCCCCCATTGAAAGATGGAAAGAGAAGTAAGGTGGTATCACAGAGTATGTTCTATTGCTACGTCCAGCCACTTAATCTTCCTCCTAACACAGTACATGTCTGTGTAATTCACTATAATACTCCCATAAGTGTTTAGAGTCATTTCAAATTCCTGATTGATCCTAGGTAAGTAAAAACATTTATCTTAGTGCAGATCCGATTTTATAAAAACAGAGAGAAGAATCTTTTAAATTTCATTTTTATGGTATTTGGAACATTGGTCTTTCATATGTTGAAGGAAAGACTGTTTAGAAATTGTCAGGAGAAGAGTCTTATTTCCCTCCACTGCCTATGTGACACTTCTCTTTCTACCCCGTATTCCTCTTCTCCTGTTCCTCCTCCTTATTCTTCTGACTCTTCCTTTGTCTTCTCCTCTCATTTTCTTGCTTTCCCACATTCTCCTTTCTCCTGCCACAGGCTGTCATTAGCACCTCGCACTGTCAAGTGAACTCACTAGAGCCAGTAGATAAGCCAGGGGTCTTCCTGCTTCGTTGCATTGAAAGCATTGTGAGAAATACACCTTACGTTTATTTCCTGTTATTCTTGGAAAAGCCACAAAACTCAGGACAGGGAAATCCAAAACAGCCCACCTGGGCATATCCATGAAATACCAGACCCTGCAGTGCCCTCCCTAAGAGCAATGAAGAAATCCTCACTGCTACAGATTTTTTTGATGACCTTAGGGTGAAATGAATGGTGGGCCTGGAAAGTTTCATGTTGAGACACAATTTCAAGGTTCAAGCAATTACTAACACAGTAATACCTGCTATAATTGAATCTTTTTTTTTTCCAAGCACCCAGAAACCTAGAATTTACCTTGGCAGTGACTCAGGAAGGGTTTTCGGTGGCACATGGGAAAGGGATCCACGGAAGCACCCCATCCTGGAGGGGAGAACTGATCATTTACTCTAGTAAAGTCGATGCCATATGGATCTCTTTTATTTCTGAAACGAGCTGGCAGCGGTAGCATGTGTCAGACCTACATGGTGTGGATCTGCAGGCTTTGACAAAGAGAAAATCCCAAGTATTAAATATTAACCCGGGAATCCTGCTTCTGCTTAAAAGCAACAACTCTAGTCGGACTCCAGTTCAGTTTTTCATCTGTAAAATAGAGATAATAACAGTTATCTAGTCATTAAGATTTTTGCAAGGAGGAAATGAAATAATGTCTATAAAGAGCTCAGCATAGTGCTTGGTACATAATGCTAAATCATTGCTAACTACTGTTGCATTTATTTAAAAGCAAAGCTACAGAAATTATGAGTTGAGAATTCCCTAGAAGAAGTGAAAGTGAAAGCAGCTTCCCAAATCAACTTCAGAGTGTCGCTCCCTGCTCCTTTCCTTTTCTAGCCTGCACGGAAAGTTCTGCCTTTGCAAACACATGTGTGTGTATGTCCGTGACTCTACACTGTATCCCCCACCCCAGACAAGGGAGGTGGGGAGGAAGGGGTGGGATGGTCACTGAGTGAGGGGAGGCTGCGATTATAAATCAAGTTTGGGACGAGGAGAGAGACTAACTTATCTGATTGTGTTCCCTCATATTGGCTCCAAGAATTGCTACTAAGAATAGTGGATGCAGGGTCATTTGGTCACCTATGGTGTGTGAAATAGAGCCCCTGCTCAGAAGATGGGACCATTTCTGGGCTCATCTGTGTGTTCAACAAACCTCACTTGTCTTTGGAATTGGTTTTATTTAAGAACATAGGGACTTCAGTTCTATGAGAGTTGCAGGTTTCCCTTTGTTTTGGGGAGAAGAAGTGTTGTGGGCTCGGGCTTGGGTTTGGGTCTAATACAATCTCTTTTAAAAACAAAACTATGAATAAACCAAAAATTAGATAGAATATATGGCAGTTTTGCTCATCAGTATTTTGGCCCAAGTAAAAGTTAGCCTGAGCTCTATCATCAGCGTGTTTGCTTGCTGTGGACATTGTTTTTCTTCCTGCCTTTCTTCTTTCTAAAGCTTCTTAGCTGATCTCCTTGCTGTTTGCTTTGTTCTTTTAGTCTGTTGTGTTGTGAGTTGACCTATAATTTTTCTATCTCAAGTGGCAAGTAGTTGCCCCCAGGAAATGCACTTGTATGCGCCACTGTTTAGACAAAACTTCCATCTGCAAAGTGAGTCTGATTTAGAGATTGCAGTCTGATGTAACAGAAATGTGTTCCATAAGAATTTTGATCTATGTCAGCAGTGATTGGTGGGAAATTTCTAGAAGGTGTGACATCATTTAGTCCCCATATTTTGATGCCATCCTTAAACATAAAATCATTGAAAGTAAATTGTCATCTGACATGACATTTGACTGCCAAGTATATGTAACCATTTGAAGAGGAACAGAGTATTGTTTGATATTTATGCTTTTATATAAAATTTGCTCTCTGCCGATGCATAGTAAGCCTCTCGTCAACATTTCTTGATTGAATAAATGAGTGGAATTATGCAATCTGGAATAGCAGTTAGAAAACTGGTTGAGATAGGTCTGGGTTTAATATAAAAGCAGGAGGAAGTGGTATGAAGAGGAAATCCTGAAAAGGGGAACAGCATGTTTATAGCAACAAAAGAGTCAGGGAGGGTTAAGACAGTGCTTCTTAAACTTTTAACAGCAATGGTGAAGAAACATGTTAGTTTTGTTGTCTTAAATTTCTAATCTGCCAGGACCAACACTTTCATAAAATTCAATAACAATGAATTACTGCAAAAATGATCATGTGATATAAATATTTACAAGTGCTTACTTCCTATTTCTACATAGCTCATACAGGACCTGTAAAAAGCAGTTCACTGACCTACAACAGGCTCCAAACACACTTTAAGTAGCACTAGTTTAAGGATTGGTCAGCGATAAAACTCGAAAGAGGTTGGAGCTGGATTGTCAAGAATCCTGCACATGATTATAGGATTCCAACCTTTATGCCATCAAAATTGGCACAAATTATCTTCCTGTACTTGCATTTTAGGTTAACATGCTTAAAACTTTTGTGCTGGACACATGGTTGATTAAACGTATATAGTAAAACCTTGGATTGCGAGTAACTTGTTCTGCGAGTGTTCCACAAGACGAGCAAACATTTCTAATACATTCTAACTTGATAAAAGAGTGATGTTTTGCAATATGAGTAGTATGCGGTACCGAATGCCACATGATCACAACTCTCTCTCTCTCTCTCTCTCTCTCTCTCTCTCTCGCTGCGGGGTTGTGGGTGATCGCCCCCCTCCCCCCATGCTCGAATGCTCAGTCTCAGGTCACGGTGTTTGGCAAAAATCAGTGATTTTCCAGAACATTGGAAGGTGCCCACAACTGGCACTAGTGTAGTTTTGTCACTTCAAAGCACCTATAGGCAGTCGTTTGCTTTTCCATACAAGAGTAAGCTTGGGAGTGCTTTGCTCCATTCTAGGTCCGGCTGCCTGCAGATAAAGACCCTTTCCTTTGCTGCCTTATTGCCAGTTATATTAAATACAGTATATGACAAGAGTTTATTAATACTGTACTGTAGTCAATATCCGTGTGAGCTTATACAATAGCCCCCATGCAGAAAAAGTTGAAAAGAAAGGCAATAAGAAGGAGATGATTACGGTGGACGTTAACAAGGAAATCATCGCGAAGTGTGAATGAGGTATGCAAGTGGCTGAAATTGCAAGATTTTATAAATCTAACATCTACATCTCACCTGCAGAGGACGAAGAGAAAAAGGCAGAGGAATCGGTCACTTCAAGTGAGATTAGGGAGATGTGTAAAATGTGGGAAACAGTGCAAAACTTTGTAGGAAAGAACCGCTCCCATAAGGCTGTAGCAGTGAGAGCTATGCACCTGTTTAACAAAGCAATGTCCCATTTCCGCGAAATCCTCAAAAGAAGGCAAAAGCAAGTGTCATTGGATAGGTTCCTCATTAAAGCTGCATGTAAAGAAAAAGATTCCATTGAGCTAACAGATAGCAGGGATTCCCTTAGTGATAGTGAAAGTTGTCCTACACAGTAACCCTCCTCTCTCTTGTCTCCCTCACACCAGATGCGAAAGTTTTCAAAGGTAAGTGCAGGTTAATTTGTTTATTTTTCTTTATATTTTGTATTTTCCTTATTATTTTGTACTATATTACAGTATTGTAATCATTTTTTAATAAGTGTTTTTGGATTGTGGAGCAAATCATCTGAGGTGCCTTTATTTTTTATGGGGAAATTTGCTTTGATATACACGTGCTTTGGATTATAAGCACGTTTCTGAAACGAATTCTGCTCTCCGGCCAAGGTTTTACTGTGTATAAAGAACGGTTTTGGCTTAGCAGATACTGGTTAGTGTCCCATAATTTGCTCAGTACTTTCTTATTTTGGAAATAAATAAAGTCACTGGTGGAAATTTGGGTTTGTTGAGTAAAGGAGCACTTTTTATCATCTAGGGTTCTCCTCCTCTCTCTTGTATCTGTTCCATCTGAGTTGGTTGGATTTTACAGCAGATTTCTCAGGAGACCAGAACTGATCTGTGAGCCCTCCTGCCTTTTATTGCGCTATTCTCTTATGGTGTCTTTTCAGTCACCAGGTTTCAAGATGCTACGAGTACAAAGGACCAAACTGGGCAGGCTGGGGCTCAGCTTGTACAAAGGGCTTCACCACAAGGCTGTGATGGCCCTGAGGCGGGAGGATGTGAACGCCTGGGAGCGGAGGGCACCCCTGGCCCCCCGGCACATCAAAGGGATCACCAACCTGGGGTACAAAGTCTTAATACAGCCTTCCAATCGGCGGGCCATTCACGACAAGGTAAACATTTCTAATTTTTTCAATGAAGGAGCATCAGAGTAAAAATAAAATGTTTGCTAGTGTCATGTAAATGCCACATGACAGTATTCCTTTCTCTTTCAGAATTTTTCCTTGGGTCCAGTATTCAGTCAATAAGTATTATTTTCACTCCATTGCATGCTTTCTCCAGCTGAGGGGTGGAGGGATTGCCTTTCGAAGGAGGTGGTGTCCTATAGTCATGTCTCCAGGTGTGACTCTAGTTCTGGGACTGGGGAGACTAAGGTCAATAAAAAACTGCCTTGCCTAGGAATAAATCACTTTCCTACATAACCATCATACCTAAGAAATTAATAATTCCATAATATCATTTCACATAGCCCATCTCAAATTCCCCATTGTCTCAATGGTCTTCACGATTTTTTTAAATTTTTATTAAAAATTCTTTTATTACATTTCTTTATTTTTGAGAGGCAGAGAGAGACAGAGCGCCAGCGGGGGAGGGGCAGAGAGAGAGGGAGACACAGAATCCGAAGCAGGCTCCATCCAGGCTCTGAGCTGTCAGCAGAGAGCCCGATGTGGGGCTGGACCTCAGGAACCAGGAGATCATGACCTGAGCCCAAGTCAGACGCTCAAGCGACTGAGCCACCCAGGCACCCCTATTTTTTTTTTAATTTTAATTGAGGCTTAATTAAGGTTCATTGCATTCATTGTTATGTCTCTTTTAGTTCTTTTAATCTAGAACAGCACACCTGTTTGATTTGTGGTATGGACTCTTTTTGAAGAGTCCAGGCTAGTTGACTTGTAGAATCATCTGCTTCTGGTTGTAATTAGTCTTGTTTTTATTCTGGTGTTTACATTCAGGTTAAACACTTTTGATATAAATGTGATATAAGTGATCTATGTTCTTCCCATTGGATCACATCAGAGACACAATATATCAGGTTGTCCCAAGGTTAGAAATTTGTGGTCACTTGGCGGAGGTGGTTACCACCAGATCTCTCCATTGTATAAGTACCTTTTTCCCTTTGTAATTACTGAGTCATCTGTGGGATGATATTTTGAGACCGGTGAATCTCCTGCTTGTGTCTCAACCACCTTTTGCTAAAGATGTTAGTTAGCATCCATTGATAATCTTTGCCTGAATCATTTTTTCCCGTGGAAGCTTGCAAAATGATGATTTTCTAATTTTATCACTCTTCTAAGTTATTTGCTGATATTCTTCTGCAGAAAACAGATTTCCTTTAGTTTTTCCTTTCTCTTCCACTCTTTTGAGTATCATTATGGATGTATGAGCCTTTTCCCTTGCTGATAATCTATTAACCATTTTCTTAAATGTCCAAATTATCCCAAATTTGAGATAGAGGGTCTCTTTAAGGGTGCTCCTATGTCTTTGGACATGAATCCATTTATTTTTGAGCTTTCTTGTTTCCTGCAGCAACATATGGTCTTAGCCTCACCTTGTGCTTTTTTGCCCCACACCTGGGATTAGCCATTTCATCAGGGAACCCTGATTTCTTTTAATATATAGAAACCAAGATCTGATATCTCGTGTTAGGTGTGCTTATTTTTACCGGGATAGTGTCGTTCTTAGCCCCTTTAGTGGACAAACTAAGAAATGCACAGATTACACATACCCATACACATATATATACATATAACATACATATAATACATACATACATATATAATATACATATACATATATTATTTAATCATGAGTTAATGCTGGTATTTCCATTAGAAATTTTAACAGTGCAGGTTTTTCTTACCTTTAAAAATTTATATTTGTATGTTTTCTCCAGCAGTGAACATTTTAATTCTTTATAACATTAATGCATGTTTTTTGCTCTATCCTATATTATACATAAAATAGTTTTGGAATCACAATACTAATATTACAACTAAGGATAAACCTATTAATGCTAGGGGAGTAGATCTTAACAGTTCTCATCACAAGAAAAAAATTCTGTAACTATGCATAGTGATGGATGTTAACAAGACTTATTGTGCTGATCATTTTGCAATACATAAAAATATCGATTATTATGTTATACACTTGAAACTAATATAATGTTGTATGTCACTTCTACCTCAATAAAAAAAATAAACCTATTAAATGGAGTTTAATTTTTTTAGTTGAAAATTATTTTTTGTTTTAGAATATATCTCACAACAAATATTCAGAGTGTTGTATTCAAGTTATATGAATTATACAATGTGTAGTTACACCATCGTTGTGATATACAGCTGGATTTATTTGTGTTTTTTCTATACATTTTAACAGTTGCTTTAATATCCTTTTTGATTTAATTATATTCTTAAAATAAGTGAAACATTTACAAGTTTCAAAGGTGAAAATGATGTACAGTGATATGCTGCAGAGAAGTCTTCCTCTTATCTTAATCCCTTAGATCCTCTTCCCACCCACTGCATAGGTTAGTATTGTCATTTCTCATCTTTTATTTCTATATTTCTGTCTGCAAAAATGTGCGTGCGTGCGTGTGTGTGTATTCTTATATAGAAGGTTGTATACTATACATACTGTATTGCACCTTATTTGTTTAGTCGACAACATACCCTGACACTCACTCCATGTCTGTTCATAGAGATCTGCTTCATTCTGTTTAATGGCTGTGCTATAATTATTCTGTTGTAATTACTCCATGATTTTTTTGTGATTTATTTAACCAGTCTGCTATAAATGGGTAAATAGATTATTTTCAAAGAAACAAGGTATGAATTATATGTTCATTCTTGTAGTGTCTTTCTTATAGCTTCCTTTGAAGTAGATTCCTAACTAGATTCATCTTCCTTTTATTCAACGGCCACTTTTGGTGCTCTTTTAATTCTGCCTGGATCATGCTGCTCCTTTTGTTTAGAAATCTGAAATGACTGTCTATTGCCTCCGTGTACTAGCTATTCAATCTCAGTTGAATGTATAAACCTCAGGTTTCCCATTGATAAAATGGCCACAATAATAGCACCCATCTCATGGGAGTTTTATGAAAATTAAATGAGATAATTCATGAAAAGAACTCAGTTAAAGCATGTACTAATTTATTAATAAATGATGATTTTTTTTATCCCATAAAGATCATATTCACCATGATAATACTTAGTTTACTTTTCCAAATTGATTTACCCACTATGCCCTTAATATCTCCTTATTTTCCAGGCTGCAAATTTGTATGTATTCCTTCAGTGCCTCTTACTGATATTACCATGTTGCATTTCCCACCTCCATCTTTCCAAATCCTACCTAGGCTTCAAGATTACTTTAAGTTTGCATATTTCCTTGGTAGTCTTACCCAGGAATTATCTCAGTATTCATTAAACTACTGTATCACTTAGGTTCTGCTGTGCACAATTCTTTTGAATTTGGTCTCATTTACTGTGCTCCTGACTTCTTTTTTACTATGTTTTGTTAGTGCCTTTACAGGAGGGGTGTTGTCTGCCTTTTTGTGTATCTTATCATCTCATCTGTAGCACAGTCAGCTGGACAGAATAGGGCAGTAATAAATACTAACTGAACCAAAAAAAAAAAAAGAAAGAAAGAAAGGAAAGGAAATATTGCAGATACATGTCTTTCTTTTAAAAATAACTGAGTAAGGGGTGCCTGGGTGGCTCAGTTGGTTAAATTTCCAACTCTCCATTTTGACTTAGGTCATGATCTCACAGCCATGACGTCCATGCCCAGTGTGGAGCCTGCTTAAGATTCTCTGTCTCCCTCTGCTTTTCTCAGGCTGTCTCTCAAAAAACAAAACAAAACATGGGCTTACCGTTGGCGCGGTCGGTTCAGCGTCGACTTCCCAGCCAGGTCGCGATCCTCATGGTCCAGTGAGTTGAGGCCCTGCGTCAGAGCTCTGGGCTGATGGCGTAGGCCTGGGACCTATTCGATTCTGTGTCTCCCTCTCTCGCCCCTCCCGTTCATGCTCCTGATCTTCTCTCTCTGTAAAATAAATAAGGTTAAAAAAAAAAAAAAAAAAAAAAAAAAAAAAAAAAAAAAAAAAAAAAAACAAAACAAAAAAACCTGAGTAATAAATTACTATTTTGCATGTAGTGTTTCAGTGCATTGTTGATATAAATTATACATTTCACAAGTATTTTTAAATCATGTGTGTTAGTGGTTTGGATTAAACTATTAACGGGACTTAAATAAGAATAGGTGTTACTGTTGTTTTGCCTAAAGTCAAGAGTATTAAATTGATCTTTAGCCAGAAAGTAAAAATATTAGAAGCAGTTGTTCTGTTATTTGTTCCAATGCATACAGAGTCTATGCCTTCAAAAGATTGTGCCTTTAATTGCTACACTTATTAAAGAAAATGTGAATACAAAAAATCAGGGAAATAACTTTTAACCAAAACTGCATTCCCAGGAATATGTTAAAGCTGGTGGCATTCTTCAGGAAGATATTTCTGAAGCTTGTCTAATTTTGGGAGTTAAAAGACCCCCGGAGGAAAAATTAATGTCTAAGAAGACTTATGCATTCTTCTCCCACACAATAAAGGCTCAGGAGGCCAACATGGGCTTGTTGGATGAGATTCTAAGAAAGGTAATTAGTGACCAGTAATCATAAATGTTAACACAGAAACAATATTTCTTTTTACTTTTAAATGTCAAGTGGGGTTTTAGTTTTCTTTCAGCATCTAGGGAATACATCATGTTATTCACCTCAGTAGGAAAGGTGGTCTATGAGTTAGTGCTAGAATGGCTCTGCTTCTTTTAGGGCTCCTCTGCTGTGCAAGTTTGGAATTTGTAATAAGAGAAACCAAACATATTTCATTCTTTTTGTATTTTCAAACAGAAAGAATGATAGAATTGTTCCCCCCAAACGATTAGCAGTCTATAAGGCCAATTGGTCAGATATTACCAAGTAGAATTTTATTGCTGAAAAGAGCCTCAGGAATCATATAATCCACTTCTGTCATTTTTCAGATGGAGCCCCGAGAGGCAAAGTGACTCAACTGAGGTTGCACAGCTCTGTAGGGCCAAACCTGGATTGGGGATTACTTTTACATTTATTAACATTCGTATAGGAAAAAAAAAATCAATTTTTGAGATACAAATACTATGGAAAAACTATCAGGTGTTTAAAATATAGAGTATTCATTCAACAAATATTTGCTTAGTGTCTGCAATGTGTCTGATACTGTTCACTGCAATGGCAATAAAGTAACTGTCTTTATAGAGCTTACATTCTAGGGGGAGGAGACAGATGATACATACATAAATAAGACATCTCATCTGTCACTTGGAGATATGTGTGATGGAGATAAATATGATACAGAAGGAGAAAAGGGGTGCTGGGCACCGCAGGTGGTGATAGTTTAAATCGGATGATCAGGGAAAGCCTCACTGCAAATTTGGCATTGAGCAAAAATTTGAAGGAGGTGAAGGATTAAGTCTTATCCATTGGAGAAGAGACTTCCAAGCAGAAAGCAGAGTAGTGCAAAGTCCTGAGGGTCTGGTTGAGCAGAGGGTTAGAGTAAATCATGCTCTGAAGTTCTTATTCAGCTTGCTGTGTGGATAATATCGGAGGTGGAAGGAGAAAATTGGCAAGATTGTTAGTCTAGATTAGTATGGGTGCCAGGTTACAAAAGACAGTGGCTCACATGAGGGAGGTGGAAATGGAGGTAGTGATACACAGATCAGTATTCAGTGTATTTTAGAGATCAGATCCTGCAGAAGTTACTGGTGAAATGAATGTGCAGTATGAGAGAAAGTGGCACTGGAGAGGAGTCCAAGGTTTTGGCCTGAGCAGTTTGAAGGTTGCCACAGACCGAGACGATGCTAGTGCAAGAGGAAGCAGGCTTGGGTGGGAGGATCAGGAGTTGAGTTCAGGGCCCGTTGAGTCCAATTTGTCCCTTAGACATTTAAGGAGATTTTAGATTTTAGACATTCAATTTTAAGGAGATACTGAGACGGCTGTTGATACGAGTTTGTAGCTCAGGAGGGTGGCTCCTCCTGAGACACATTTTGTGGTCAGAGACTTGATGGCATCTAAGAACATGAGACTGGATGAGGGTAGGTAGTGAGTGTGGGTAGAGAAGGCCAATGTCCAGGTCCTGGGGTAAGGATGTTAGAGCATTAGAAACGAGACTGGAATCTGCGAATAGGCAGAGGACAGGAGACTTCACAAACAGTAAAAGCCATAGAGGAAATGTGTTTCGTAAAGGCCTATGGCATACATTCCTACTAACTTCAAATATGCTAGACCTCGGCTAGTGAATTGCCAGTGGTTCTGAAGAACGAGTTCAAAAAAGTGATTAATGGAAATAATATTATAAGAGGAAGGTTTCACTTAAGTAGGTAAACTCCTTAAAAAGTACTTCAGAAATTTTGTTGTTATATGAACTTTTGTTCATTACAAGAGAATTAATAGAAGCAGAATAGGCATGGCTGCTTTTTGGCAACATTTTGTAACCAATTACTTAGAGTTGGATGAATCTTAAACATTCTGAAATTCAGGCACTTGGTAAAAATCATAAGGTATTTAAGGAAATATAATGGCTGTTTAAAGCATTCTATAATCACAGTGTGTCAATAGCTTTTAACCACGAATTGATAGGACATTCCTGAGAGGGAAGGTTCCCAAAGACAGGGAAGAATGTGGTTTTAGTGAAGCTGAGAAAGTGAAAAGCAGGCTGTATGTACTACTACTTTGTGAATAAAGCTTATTTGTAAAAGGATGGGGAGAGAGAAAAGAGGGAAGGAGGAAGGAAGGAAGGGAGAGAGAGAAAGAATGAGAGATTTGTGTGTACGGACTTGAGAGGGGTCGTTGTTATTTTTTAGGTAGGAAGGAGCAGTGTACACAGGGATGATGCAGGAAGAGAAAGTTCAAGAGCGGTCTGGGAGGACACGGGAAAAGCTGGGATCCAGTTCGCAGAGATTAGCCTTAGGAGGGACTTGCTTTCTTTGAGGCTAGAAGGATGGATATGGGGATGAATGGGGCTATAGATATATTCGTGGACGCTGCTGGCCTAGGAGAGGAATTGATGCCTTTCCTGTTTCATTAACTACCATCAAGGAGCACTAGGCACGCTGCTAGGACCATTCTTTCATCTCAAATCATGAACCTATTATTGGTTTGTGACCCAGCATTTTCTAAATAGTTCATGGTGCACCTAATGGTAACTCATAAAGTCTAGTGAAGACATATTTTATAAGAGGAAGAAATGTGAAAATTTACTTGCTCGTATATGTGCTTACTCATTGATATGAAGCTGGATGGGTCTGAGTCAAAATCTTTTATTCTTTCTTCAGGAAATCCGACTGATCGATTATGAGAAAATGGTAGATCATAGAGGAATACGGGTAGTGGCATTTGGACAGTGGGCAGGTGTAGCAGGTAGGTATGCCAGGGTTTTACATCACTCACTTTCTGAATTTGCCTGGGGTGTAACTAGGTGTTTTCCTTTTTTCTGTGGCAAGGGCATGAAAGTGTTCATTTTCACCCACTAAAAATAAACATGGGTGTGTGCCTAAGGGTGATGAATATTAGGGGAATAAAATAAGAAGGTAAATCATTAAATACCTTCATTACAAAAGTTAAAAAAGAAAAATCAGGGAAAAGGAGAACAACTATGAATAGGGTCTGGCTTTTCCGGTAGTTCTGTCTGGAAGACTAGGAGAGGTCAGTTTGGTGATGAGAAATTATGGAGAGGAATAAAGGGGGGAAGGAAGGGAAAAGATACAGGGGTAGGAACCAAGAGAGGAACAGTTTAGAAAGAATAAGAGCTGTAGTTTGGGGGAAACTACACTTGACTTTTGTTCCATTAGTACTTTGAACCTTCTTTAGTTGAGAAAACATCACCTTATGTTATAACCATGCATCGGATTAGACTACTTGAAGGTCTGTACTTGTTAAGACAAGCAGACAGAAAAGTTGTGGGGATATAGGACAGGAAGACACCATCAGCCACCCTAACCTAATTGACAGTTATTGAGTACTCACCCAGTTGGCCCATATGCTGGGTCACAAAACAATTCTAAATAAACATAAAATGTTTGAAATCATCAAGTATGTGCTCTGACTATAATAAAGTCGATTTTGAAATAATAATAGAAAGATATTTAGAAAATTTCTAGATATTTGGAAGATAAGCAATATATTTTTGAATAACCCATAAGTCAAGAAGGAATCACAGAAAAATTAGAAAATATTTTGAGGGCGCCTGGGTGGCTTGGTCGGTTAAGCGTCCGACTTCGGCTCAGGTCATGATCTCACGGTCCGTGAGTTCGAGCCCCGCGTCGGGCTCTGTGCTGACAGCTCAGAGCCTGGAGCCTGTTTCGGATTCTGTGTCTCCCTCTCGTTCTGCTCCTCCCCTGTTCATGCTCTGTCTCTCTCTGTCTCGAAAATAAATAAATGTTAAAAAAAAAAATTAAAAAAAAAAAAAAAGAAAATGTTTTGAATTGAATGAAAATTTAACACAGCATACCAAAATTGATGAGGTGCAAATAAAATGATGCTTATAAGGAAACTTTTAGCATTTGGTGCTTTTATTAGAAAAGAAGAAAGTCCAAATTAGTGATCTAAACTTCCATCTTACAAAGCAAGAAAATGAAGAAGTAATTAAACCCAAAGCAAATACAAGGAAAAGAATAATAAAGATAAGAGGGGAAATCAGTGAAATCTAAAGCTAGTTATTTTTAAGCAAATCAATAAAATTGTTAGGCCTCCAGTTAGACTGATTAAAAAAAATAGAGAAAGAGAGTGAAGCCACAATTTACCAGTATTAGGAATACAGGAGGGGTCATCACTATACATCCTATAGACATTAAAAGGGTAAGAAAATATTATGAATAGGCCAATTAATTTGACAATGTTGGTCAAATAGACAAATCCCTGAAGGACAGAAATTACCAAATCCAACTCAAGAAGAAATAAAAAACTTGAATATCAAGGTACAAAAGAAATTCTAATCATAGGCATTTATCAAGAGAAATGAATAATTTTTTTTGTAAATACTTATTTCTAGTAGCTTCATTCATAATAGCCTAGAGACAATCCAAATGTCCATCAGCAGAGGAATGGTTAAATAAATTGTGATATATCCATAAAATAGAAAACTCCTTCATCAATAAAAATAAGTCAACTACTAATACACTCAATTATGTATGAATCTCAAAAACATTATGCTGAGTCAAAGCAGACACAAAAAAGAGTATATACTTATAATTTCATTTATATGAAACTGTAGAAGTAACTATTCTCTACAGAGAGAAATGAGGTGAGTGGTTTTCTGGGGCAAAGGGTTGGAGAGGACTGAATGGAGTGTTGGAAATATTCTATATCTTGATTAGGTCAGTGATAATATGGGCGTGTACATATGTTCACAGTTATCAAATGATACATTTTAAATTGGTGTGTTTTATTGAATATAAATTACTCTTTTAAAAGTTGACTTAAGAAAAAAGATCAAAGAACATTTCAAAGGGATACAGAGAGGGCAAGTTATGTTCCTAAAAAGAAGGGGAGAATGGATGATGAGGTCTTTGCTATGGGTATGCTGAGTTTTCGTTGTTTGAATCCAAATTGAAAAATCCATGAGGTAGTTGATTAGTTGTTGAAGCGAAATGTCTGTGTTAGAGATACAGACTTGGGGTCAGCAGCATACAGAGTACTTGAAATTTAGGACTGGATGAGACTAGCTAAGGAAAAAAATGTAGAGATTGAAGAGAATAAGGCCCTGGACAGAATCCTGAGGCTGATTAGGGTATAAAGAAAGGGCAGGGGACACTAGTTTAAAAGAAATGGGCAGGGGAAGAGGCACCTACAGATGTGGGAGGAAAGTTTTCAAGGCAGAGATGCTAAGGGAAGAGAGGGTTCTAATAAAGAGGGATTCCATGTTGCCAAATATCTCTGACAAGTAAGTCAAGATCTGACAATTGTCCACTGAGTTTAATTAACTATTTAGGTCACTAAAATTGCTGACAGCGGTCACAGGTAGGGCCAATGGTGACCTCGTTTTGCTTGTTCATTAGTTTTGGTTCAAGAGGAATGTAAGTGTCTTTAAATGTTGATAAGAGTGAACTAATAAGGAGGGATAGTGAAAGAAATAGTAATTCAAGAGTGAATTCCTTAGAGAAGGAATGGGAAGAGATGGGATCTGGAGCAAAGGTGGAAAGACTAACCTTAGAGAAGAACACGGACACTCTTTCCATTTTGGCAGATTGAAAGTGGAAGGGATAGATAGAGATGCAGCTGAGTTAGTACTTTTGATGGCCGCAAGTTGAGAGGATGGATAAGGTGATCACCGGGGCCCCTTCCAAATCTGAGATGCTGTGGTCTGTGCTTCCTCAGAGCACCGAGCAGGTTGGAGAATGGTCAGAGAAAACAGCTTCAGCTCCTCCCGACTAATGGTTTTTCTGTTGGTCTGATTCTGCAATAGGGATGATCAACATTTTACATGGAATGGGGTTAAGGCTCCTTGCTTTGGGACATCACACACCTTTTATGGTGAGATGTGTATTTTGTTTATCATTTTGAAAATACATATCACACTTTAAGAACAGGTAAATGTCTCAGGATGTAGATTAATTTGAACTCGTGTGTGCTTGCTTTCAGCACATTGGCATGGCTCATAACTACAGGAACAGCAGTCAGGCTGTGCAAGCCATCCGCGATGCCGGCTATGAAATATCTCTGGGTTTGATGCCAAAGTCGATAGGGCCCTTGACATTTGTGTTCACAGGGACTGGTAATGTATCTAAGGTAACTTCTCAGATACTTCTAAGAATATCTGCTTTCTGTAAAGCAGTCAAAACTCTGAGACTAACCCAAAGGATGTGAGGATTTTAGGGATATTTTAGAGCCCTGCTTTTTGGATGAGTGGGCATTCTATTTTTGGTACTTTTCTTACCTATGTACTTTTCCCACAGTAAGAGAGCAGTGATGGTCCAAACTCATTTTCTTTGCTCTTGGTTGACTCCAAGCTGTCAGGGGTTTTGAATGCTTTTTCTTTTTAAAGGGATAAGTCATTGTTAACGGTATAAAGGTCTGTTCTTAGAGAGGTCTGTTTTACCTTCGTCACTGTGTTGTCCAAAAGTTTGGAATTGACCACAGGATGTAAACTCTTTTAAATGACTTGGGGTTTTGCCAGTAAGATTTTAGAAAGCCTAATTTAGGATTGTAATTCATACTTTCTTCCGCTTGGGGTGGTTTTGAGAAGACACTTGTGATCCCCCAGAGAAACTTGTAATTGTAAAAGAGACCTTTCAATGAAAATATTTTACAAACAGGACATCACTATTTGTATTATACTGTGAGATAGCCATCTAATTTTTTTTTTTCCATAGGAAATATAATTCCCTCACTTGAAATAATTCTGCAGTGGAGCAAACATAAATAGGAATATTTTGTTATGTTTTCATTTCTAAGCACCCTTGTGTCTCCTCTGGGTAACTTAAATAAAAAAAGTAAAAGTAAAGCTCCTTCCAATTAATGCTGTTTCATTAATAAAATAAATAAAAACTGGTCTGTAGGCTGTGTGCCAGAAGCTTACCTGTACTTCTGGGTTGCAATCCTCGCCGTAGGGCAGGACAAGTGGAGCTGTGTAATTGTGGGGAAAGCGAATTGGAATCCTTGTGGGAAACCATGTTGGCTTTTGTCCTATTGATTTTTAGATTTGTACTCATGCATTATTTATAGGGAGCCCAAGAAATCTTCAATGAGTTACCTTGTGAATATGTGGAGCCACACGAATTAAAAGAAGTTTCCCAAAATGGAGGTAAGGGGGAGGAGGATGACTGCATGTATCTTTTACTGTTTTTAACAGTTTCTGTGTTATCATATTTTATCACCATAAACCTTTATCATTTGTCACCTACTTTACTCATTTCTTTCTCTTCTGCAAGACCTGAGAAAAGTCTATGGGACGGTGTTAAGTCGCCATCATCATCTTGTCAGGAAAACAGATGGTGTGTATGATCCTGTAGAGTATGACAAATATCCTGAGCGCTACATAAGTCGTTTTAATACTGATGTGAGTATCACACTCTGCTTCTGAGTTGGTTGCTCATAACACACTATTGTTAGGTTGTTTTCAAGGAGAAAAATTATGAATGTATATATTGTTTTTCAGTTCCCCATAATGACTCGTGAGTCCTTTGGGTTGGCCTTAGGGGTTGTTGGCTTTTATTGATGTTTGGAGTGGCCTTTGCTTAAGTGGTTTTGCTGGATATGTTCTTTGCTTCGCTGTCTCTGTTTCTACTTCAGGTCTGCATGTGCCCAATAACTCTAAACCATTTCCCATGGGGTGTTGTTTTCTGTATTTATCTTGGACTAGTTAGTACTGTTGGCAAAACACAATGTCTATGAGTTTTCATCTCAACCTAGGTTTATCCCACCTATTGTCACAAATTGCACTCATAACCCCAGCCAGCTATCTTGAGGCATGGCATTGGTTACAGGGGACTAGGGTGAAACAGCTACATAAGCAAAGACCCATCCCCACTGTACAAAAAGTTACGTACAATGCAAAACCTTCTGATGGAGACACGCTGGCCTCATCTTCTAAGAAGAACAATGTATTTGTGTGTTCTGTACTCAGTGGTCATGCATAGTCCTCCTCAAAATAAACCAAAAAACCAAAAAAATAAACCAAACAAAAAGTGCATTTACTGTGAAAAGAAATGTTTTAAATAACTTTAAGTATGTTTGAGTAACAAGATTCTAGATTCTGGTATGAAATTTAGCTGTTCTAGCATATAGAGCATGCTATAGAGAAGAACTCTTACCTGTAGCTTGAGAATGCCTGAGATTTTTGAGAAACAAAAATTATGAAACTAGTTTCAGACTGAAAAATTAAAAATCTAGTAAATTTACATCCCTCCTCTTTTCCCCAATCACAGAAGTGTTGGTGATTGGACGCATCCTAAAACTTATAATGACCTAGTTACCATGTATGTATGCATGTAGTACATTCGTCCATGGAGCTTACAGATGTTATCTGATTTAATCTTTACAGCATTCCTTTGAGGAATGGGGTACGTATTATCCCCATCTGGCAGGTAAGGAAAATAGAGCCTAGAGAAGTTGAGGTAGTATGATGTAGATCACAATCCTGGTGGTTGAGCTGGAAATAGAGTATTAGGTCGCTTGGTTCTGTCCTTTCCTTTTTCTTGGCCATGCATTACATTAGAGAACAGAAATATTAATGCATTTATGTTCACGTATTTCTCTATCATGGAATAATTTTGGGTGGGTATTTATTGTCTTCACCTCACAAAGCTACCAACGACCTGGCAAATAACAAAGTCAATTAGAAGTAACATTAAATTATTTCTCATGAACTTTACTGATAGTTCTCTTTCAGCCTACTTCGTTGAAATTCGCTATTGCCTATCTTGTTGAACTTGGCACTTGCTTTACAGATTGCACCCTATACAACTTGTTTAATTAATGGAATCTACTGGGAACAAAACACCCCTCGATTACTAACTCGCCAAGATGTCCAGAGCCTCTTGGTTCCGGGCAAGTCCTCGGTTGCTGGTGTGGAAGGCTGCCCCGCATTACCACACAAGTAAGGACTTCCCTTCAGTAATGATGGCAGTTTGTAGCAGCTGGACCCACTAGTTACGGTATCATTATAGGAGATTCATGTATCACCAGACTTGACTATTAATGACTAGTTGTCTGCTTTATCTTACTTGATCTCTTGGCAGCATTTGACAGTTAACCTTCCTTCCCTCTTGAAACTCTCTTCCCTTAACTCCATACGAAGCTTAAAAGTAACCTCAGAAAGATCTGCGTCCCCAGCCCCGTCTCTCTCTAGTCTGTTACTTTTTTTTCTCTGAAACTCACGATCATTTATTTTCCTGTGTTTATGATTTTTCTCCCTCCTATTAAAATTTAATCTCCTTAAGGATAGCGGCCCTATTTATCTTGGCTTCAAGTACCCAGTACGTTGCCTGACATGTAATTTGCATTCAAATAATTATTAAATGTTGAGTATATAATTAACCAATAAATATTTGTGAATGCTTCATCTGCCTTGCACTCTGCTAAAGGACAGAGAAAATATATGATTGCTACCCTCAGGCATGTAGCTGGCAAGAAGTAAATGTCAAGAGAATGCTAGGAACAATAAATAGCACAAGAATTGAGAAGAAACTGGGAACACTGGGCTCAGCAAGGCTTGAAAGGGAGGACTGAGGGGAAAGAGAATTTCAAGTGATAGGATTGGTGCCTGATAAATACAGAACCATCAAAGCACAATTTAAGGCACAGCGAGTTAAGACATTAGCTCTAGTGCAGGGTTTATAAAGGCAAGTGGTAGTTGGACACTGGGCAGGGAGTTTTTGGTCAACCACTAAAGGATTTCAAAAGCTGGGCTGAGGCTTTTGTTCTTAATTCTAGAGGTTTCCCTGTATTAACATGGAAAATTCCGTAGTAGCTCTATAAGCACAGACTCATCCCCACTGTACCAAAAGTTACCTACAATTCCAAACCTTCCGAGGGGGCACACTGACTTCACCTTATATGAAGAACAATGTATCTGTGTGTTCTGTAATCATTGGTCATGCAAAGTCCCCCTCAGAACAAACCTTGTGCCACTAAGCAGGGTGCAGACAGTGTCATCAAATATTCATAAGTTATTTAGAGCTGGCTAAATAGGTTAACTTTAACTAGGCTGTTTGCTGTGATTTCTCTAGGGAAGGGGTTTTCCACTTTGATTTTTTCTCCTCCCCCTCTTTTTCTCCTTATTTTTGTGTGTGGAGACTAAAACTCATCTTGGGAAGGGGCGCCTGGGTGGCGCAGTCGGTTGAGCGTCCGACTTCAGCCAGGTCACGATCTCGCGGTCCGTGAGTTCGAGCCCCGCGTCGGGCTCTGGGCTGATGGCTCAGAGCCTGGAGCCTGTTTCCGATTCTGTGTCTCCCTCCTCTCTGCCCCTCCCCCGTTCATGCTCTGTCTCTCTCTGTCCCAAAAAAATAAATAAACGTTAAAAAAAATAAAAAAAAAATAAAACTCATCTTGGGAAGACTGTCTATATCCTAGAAGGATACAGTGTCCTGAACAGTGAAGTGTAGGGAAAAAAGCTGAAGAACCCAGGAAATATGTGGCATCCACACTGAAAGTTGTTCCAAGCACCTTTCACTTCTATTCATTTTTAATCTTGTTGAGAATTCCACACTTTCATCTGAGTGTTGATGTTATTTTCAGACTTGTGGCAATATGTGACATTTCAGCTGACACAGGAGGATCTATAGAGTTTATGACTGAATGTACGACGATAGAACATCCCTTTTGTATGTATGATGCAGACCAGCATATTATTCATGACAGGTAAGTTTGCTGGGGCTGCAGATGATAAGAGACACATAATAATACATCACTTACTTACCTTGGTATAGTAGTTTAAAGTATTCAGTATTTTACATTTTTATGAAGGCTATGCAAATACCAGAGATATGCTCAAACATATTAAAAAATTTGGTAAAAAAAAACAACAACAACATGCAAATTCAAACACTTAAATACATGCATACTATATTTAAATGGGAGATGGGTGGCTGAAGAAGGGAGGTTTTGGTTGAAAAGTCTTGTTTCTTTTCTTACACACTTTGATACCCAGCTTTAAATTATTATGACACAAATGCAATGGTTTAGGCATCTGGGAAAGTTAGAGCTTACAGATAACACTGTATACATCTGAATAAAGCATCTCACTTCTCCTAGTGTCGAAGGCTCGGGGATTCTGATGTGTTCCATTGACAATCTGCCAGCACAGCTTCCAATTGAAGCTACAGAATACTTTGGAGACATGCTTTACCCTTACGTTGAAGAAATGGTAAGCTGACTGGCAGCATCCACAGCAATTCTGTGGCTTTCAACAGAACTGCAGCGTGGTCCTAGGGATGTCTGGTCTTCTATATCTAAGAAATCTGTTGTAAAATGGAAGGCCAGCCCTCCCTCAAAAGTATTTATAGACACTCTTTAATATATTCTGCTAGCTTGTCTCATGGGGAATAGAATTATATAACTGCCTTCATAGTGAATTATAATAGCATTTATCTTCCATTATTCATATTTTGTTAAGAAAGTGGCCTGTGGGGTAAGATTTTCCTTTTTTTCACTCTTCCTGCCGTCTTGGTCAATGCATGTGAAAACATTCTTACTGTGCTGTGATTAATAGATTTGAAAAATCAGAAATACAGAGACTTATTGGATGTTAGTCACTAATGCTTAGTTAAGTGACAGCTTTTGTTGTGGTCGTGTATTTTTCACTGTAATCAATGATTGACTGCCGAAATACCGTGCTCTCTAAATTCCATTTCGTTTGCCAAAGATAAGCACTCTTATTTCAGTGTTTATCTTTCTTTCTTTTTTTTTTTAAGAGAGAGAGAGAGAGTGTGCACACGAGTGGGAGAGAGAGGCAGCAGGAGAGAGAAGCTTAAGCATAGAGCCCGAGGTGGGGCTCGATCCCGCTACCCTGGGATCATGACCTGAGCCCAAATTGAGAGTCAGACACTCAACTGACTGATCCACCCAGGCACCCCCAGTATTTATTTTAAGCGTTCATACTCGCTTTCTCTGTTGAGAATTTCTATCTTTTCATACCTTATGAATGTACTGTTCTTTATCACATAGTCATAGTTAGAAAAGCCACTTTATAGTCTTTGCATCATATTTCCCAGTTTCTGGGTCAGCTTGGGGTTGAACTTTTATTGATTGTCTTTTCCCTTGAAAATGGGTCAAGTCATAGTTTCCTGGTTTTCTCCAGTTGAATAATTTTGGAGTGTGTCATGGGTGATGTGGATAGCTATGCTGTGGAGATTCTGGATCGTTACATTTCTCTTCAAAGTGTTGATTTTTTGTGTGTTTTAGTAGACATTTAATTTGGCTAGCTTTAAATTGGAAACTCTGTCTCACCTGAGGTGGGGAGTAGCTCAAATAAAAGTTCAGCTCTTTGCTTTCCTTGGGCTGCTTGACCTGCAGATGCTCAGTTTGGGGATTATCCTGAGACTCGGAATAGGGTTCACATGAAAGTTGGACTTCGCTTTTTCCGAATCTGTGCCCTCTGCCATCCCCCCTCACATTCTGGAGGCTGTGGTTGCTCTGGGTTCCATTCCTGTTTGTAGATCAGAAAGTAGTGAGCTGGCTACATGTTTCTATGTCTTTGCACCACGTTGCCCATCCTGGGCAGTGCCAAAGGCTGGGCAAAGGAAACTACTGTGATGGTTAATTCTTCCAAGTTTTGACGCTCCTCCAAAAACTGCCCACTATTTTTTCATTCTCGGAAGCCCTCAAGTAGTTGGTTTTGTTTGTATTTTGTCCAGAGTTTGTAGTTGTTATCTGCAGGAGGAATGGTCCATTAGAGCTGCCCACAGGCCTGAAATGAAATGCGCCAGTCATAATACATAGAATCAACTGGACTCTAGTAGACTTTTGGAGTATGTAGAAGAGCTGTTGCTGAGCCTTTGGCTTTAATTCATCTCTTCGAATGCTTAAATTATGTGTTTTCGGTGCAACTCTTCCTCTATATGGGCCTGGTTTGTCTTGTGGATGGATTTGACTGTTAATTTCTTGAAATGTGTGTTTTGTTTGTTTTTTTTTTTTTTAATTTTGTTTTTCAACATTTATTTATTTTTGCGACAGAGAGAGACAGAGCATGAACGGGGGAGGGGCAGAGAGAGAGGGAGACACAGAATCGGAAACAGGCTCCAGGCTCTGAGCCATCAGCCCAGAGCCTGACGCGGGGCTCGAACTCCCGGACCGCGAGATCGTGACCTGGCTGAAGTCGGACGCTTAACCGACTGCGCCACCCAGGCGCCCCTTGAAATGTGTTTTTGTATGGCTGCTCTAATATCACTTACCACTTAAAAAAGTTGTTATAAGCCATTTTCAACTCACAAATTACTACGTTTCAAAACTTCAGTTATAAGTATATTTCCACTGGACCCTACAACAGCTTTTCATTCCTATTTGTCTTTAATCAAAATTGCCATTCATTGGGGTGCCTGGGTGACTCAGTCAACTGAGCGTGTGACTCTTGATTTTGGCTCAGGTCACCATTCATGATCTTGTGGGTTCGAGCCCCACATCAGGCTCTGCGCCAACAGTGTGGAGCCTGCTTAGAATTCTCTTTCTCCTCTCTCTCTGCCCCTCCCCTGCTCCCTCTCTCTCTGTCTCTCTCTGTCTCTCAAAATAAATAAATAAACATTAAAAATGTATTCATCCAGTAGAGTTGATCTCATATAGATACTAGGAGAAAAGCAAGCCAGTTTAATAAATTCCCAGTAAAGTGTGATTTGGGGTTAGCCTATGTAATTGATGGGGGATAAGTACATTGATTAAATATAATTTTTATTAAAGAACAATATATATTTTTACATTATATAATAGCATGAAAATTAAAGTGTCACATATAAGTGATACATAAGTATACAGCATGTTAAATTACCACAAAGACACCCATGTGAACACTACGTAAATTAAAAAAAA